AGAGCGAGAGAGAGAGAGAGAGAGAGAGAGAGAGAGAGAGAGAGAGAGATAGACCCTAAAGGCCCAACCTTATGAAATGGAACATTGTCAGAGCACTATATAAGTGCAAGAGGCTTAGCTGAAGAGTCTAAGGCCTGTTGTGTCGATGCGACATCATAGCTTGTGCCCTCTTGTCAGGTATTTCCAGACAGTTCACAGGGCTGCAAGCGAAACAAAATGGCATTGCTTGAATGCAAGCAGCAGCAATGCACTTTGCATTGTACTCCATGATGATGTTCACCCTTGACTGATATTCTTAAGAACCTCCCTGCCTCTGTCATTCTGCTGCACCATGTAGGCTTCAGGAAGAAATAGGAACATCAGAATACAAGTGAAGAAAATGTCATTGGTAAATAACATTCCATCTGATATTCTTAAGAACCTCCCTGCCTCTGGCATTCTGCTGCACCATTCCACGTGCACAGATTTGCTTACCCACTCAGCACACCCAGGATCAGGTTAAGGATAAAAAATGATCCCAGTAAGATGAGGCTGACAAAGTAGATCCAGGGCCATTCATTCCCAATGGCATCATTTACCTAAGGCAGAATAAAAACGTCATAGTACTGACTTACAGGGTGTTCCACATATACAACACTTTAGTCTGGAAAATTTTTCATCTTCAGGGAAAAGAATGAACTATGGGACTGGGGAAACAAACCAGGGCAAAGGAGGGAATAGATCTTTACTCATTCATCAGACCCTCTTGAGCCCCAAGAAAATGACAGGTCTCTGGAGTACGTGTGTCAGGATTCCACGTGGCCCCTGATTGTTTCCCCGGACAAAGAGCTCACACTACGCACCCCTCAGCTGCCATCAGTTGATTTCATCAACAATACCTATTATTAATAATCAAGGTCCAGGCCATATGTCATTTTAAAAGAATCAAATAGAAATTGTTTATTGATACAAGCAATGTTGTTAACTCTTAAACAAACATTCTCCTTTATCCACTCTCAACCAGCACTCTCCCACCCAAATTCCAAATCTCTCTATCTCAAAACCCTATATCTCTATCCTCCTCCTGCTGGGTCTCTTATACCTTATGACTCCGCCCCTCCAGCACTCCCATTGGTCTACGCAAATAGCCTATGAATATTCATGACCTGGGCGAAAGCCGTGAAGTGCTAAAGGTGAGATCCTCCTGGACCCGTCCAGATGAGGCTTTCATGTGAAATCACTCTGCCTCTAACAGGAGGTCTAAATGCTTTAGCTTGGAACCTTTGGGTTTTCCTGTCACCTCTTCCACTCTATTAACAGACACATGCACACATTGTAGGGAGGTATGAAATAACCACATAATTCCCTTTGAATAGTTACGCAAGGGACGTGGTGGCGCTGTGGGCTAAACCGCAGAAGCCTGTGCTGCAGGGTCAGAAGACCAAGCAGTCATAAGATCGAATCCACGCGACGGAGTGAGCGCCCGTCGCTTGTCCCAGCTCCCGCCAACCTAGCGGTTCAAAAGCATGCAAATGCAAGTAGATAAATAGGGACCACCTCAATGGGAAGGTAACAGCGTTCCGTGTCTAAGTCGCACTGGCCATGTGACCATGGAAGATTGTCTTCAGACAAACGCTGGTTCTATGGCTTGGAAACGGGGATGAGCACCGCCCCCTAGAGTCGGCCACAACTGGACAAAAATTGTCAAGGGGAACCTTTACCTTTACCTACTTGCTCTAAGAGCTGTCATTTTAGAAGCACAAAATGTCTTTGAGATCAAATAGGTCCCCTGAAATGAAATCCTGCATCTTAAATATCTTTGTGAACCACATGTGTATCCTGTGCAAACTTGGGATCTGAGCAGCAGAATGTTTTCCCCCTTGGAACGATGACTATTCAAAACAACCATGCCATACTACAGCGAGTGATCTTGAACTACACTACCCGGGAGGTGACAGAACATGCCTCTGGCATCCCTTCTTGCCACTTGAACAAAGAGTCTTATAGCACACATAGATACACACACCATGGTAAACCTACCCAATAGAGAACTTGAGTCCATCCTTCCATGGAAATACACTGGTAGACAGTTAGCATAGCAAACCCAAAGTTGTCAAAATGGGTGATGCCGTTGTTGGGTCCAGGCCACTTCCCCCTGCACTCCGAGCCAGGAATGGTACATTGGTGGCCATGGCCTGCACTTGTACATGGAGATGGTTTTTCATTTTCCACAGTAGCAATGATGTCTGAGGAAAGAAACAAAGAGATAGCTGGGAGAATTTAGAAAAAGAGGCTGTGCTGTGCTTTTATCTGTTTATCCCAGCACACCTCCCATTCTGACTTAAGCACATTTTCAGAAGGTGCAGCAGGCTTCAACTCGCACTCAGTTCCTATTTACAGAAGAGGACCAGAGGCAGATATTTTGCTTCATAGATACACCTGGAAGAACTTGATGTAATTATTGCCTTAGGATATCTCTAATACTCAGTAGTGTGCTGGAGCCTGGGTCGCATAGTCAATGTCCTGGGTTTTTTTTTAGCAAGGATTATTACATAATCTGCCACCTCCCCCAGGTCTGCTTTGTCCTTTTTGAGTCTAGCTTCAGCTCACTCAGTACTTGGAAGAGAAATGGCCCTTCCAAGGAACAATATATTATTACAAGTTATTTGATGCAATATAAAGTATTTGAGAATGGTTTGGTCTTGGGACAATTAAGAGCCATCAGCTTTACAGAAGACCTGCTCCTCATCTGTTGATATGACTTGATTTCTCTGCTTGCATTTCTGGAATATCATGGAGATGTCTGCCTAGGATGAGTCATAATGAGCATGACTTGTACGATGAACACCTAAGCTTCTAAATACACCACTAGATCACTGCTTGTACTTCTGTATGTTATAAACAGATCAACAATTTCCCTTACCTGTCCCGTTGTAGTAACAGGTCTTATGCATCTTGCCCTTGAAGAGTTCCTGTCCCATAATGGCATAGATGGTGAGCATGAAGACAACCAGCACTGCAATGTGGAACAGAGGCAACATAGCCTTGACAATAGAGTTCAGCACCACTTGCAGACCTGCAACAGGGAAGAGAGAACAAGACATGCACATTACTGTTACCGTTTATACTATGGGTCCAATTAACAGCATGCAATATCATATGATCCCATTTAAATCTCATTGCAAAAGGGAAAGCATTGACTTTCGTGATCGTCCTTGTTTCCCCATGTTGTGATACAACAAATCTCATCACCATAACAACATAGTCAGCAGGGATGATAAGTGTTGCAGATGATCAACATCTGGAGGCACAAAGATGGGAATGAATCACTGTGAATTTAATGGTATAGTTATTCTTTTATCCCAGGTAATTCTGCTAACATTTAGAGAAAGGTGAGAACGAAACCTTAATAACTCAGTGCAGCTATTGGTCTCTATATCTCAGTGGACATCAGTCTATTGTGCTTAAAACAATGAAAAAGAAGAGCACAAAGCTATTAACAGTTTTATCTTCTCTGCCTCCTTCATGGTGTAGTACCCTCAGTCTCCCATTTGTTTTTATTTCTGTCAGGTAAGGTAGAGAAAATATAATCGACATTAAATTAACAAACAAATTCACATTCTAATATCTGTCAAATTTACTCTTATTCTTACTCTTAAATTGTTTTCAGTTTGCTTGATCTATTCTCTGTTATGAAGATACACTTCTTCAGTGAGTTTCAAATCAAGGATGTAATTACATTTCTTCTAAGATCTTTGCATGTGCTATTTTATTTATTCATTTATTTAATTGTTTTATTTCTATATTGCCTTTGAAGGGACAAAATAGCTAGATTTGTTGTTGTTTAGTCATTTCGTCATATCCAACTCTTCGTGACCCCAGGGACCAGAGCACGCCAGGCCCTCCTGTCTTCCATTGCCTCCTAGAGTTGGGTCAAATTCATGTTGGTAGTTTCGATGACACTGTCCAACCATCTCATCCTCTGTCATCCCCTTCTTCTCTTGCCTTCACACTTTCCTAACATCAGGGCCTTTTCCAGGGAGTCTTCTCTTCTCACGAGATGGCCAAAGTCTTGGAGCCTCAGCTTCAGGAGCTGTCCTTCCAGTGAGCACTCAGGGTTGATTTCCTTCAAAATGGATAGGTTTGTTCTCTTTGCAGTCCACGGGACTCTCAAGAGCCTCCTCCTGCACCACAATTCAAAAGCATCAATTCTTCAGTGGTCAGCTTTCTTTATGGTCCAGCTCTCCCTTCCATACATCACTACAGGAAAAACCATAGCTTTGACTAGGCGAATTTTTGTTGGCAAGGGGATGACTCTGCTTTTTAAGATGCTATCAAGGTTTGTCATCACTTTCCTCCCAAGAAGCAGGCGTCTTTTAATTTCGTGGCTGCTTTCACCATCTGCAGTGATCATGGAGCCCAAGAAAGTAAAAACTGTCATTGACTCCATATCTTTCCCTTCTATTTGCCAGGAGGTGATGGGACCAGTGGCCATGATCTTGGAGGAGGGGGCTGTGCTGGAGGAGACTCCTAAGAGTCCCCTGGACTGCAAGGAGAACAAAGCTATCCATTTTGAAGGAAATCAACCCTGAGTGCTCATTGGAAGGACAGATCCTGAAGCTCAGGCTCCAGTACTTTGGCCATCTCATGAGAATACTTCCTGGAAAAGACCCTGATGATGGGAAAGTGTGAAGGCAAAAGGGGAAGGGAGAGATGGTTGGACAGTGTCATCAAAGCAACCAACATGAATTTGACGCAGCTCCAGGAGGCAATGGAAGACAGGAGGGCCTGGTGTACTCTGGTCCATGGGGTCAAGAAGAATTGGACACGACTAAACAACAAATGACAAATTATAACTATCTGCTTACTTTTTCTCCCAGACAACTTAACATAACAATATAATTGATTTTACTGTATACGTTGTTGCTCTTATAATCTCCAGATGAAAAATCACATGGGAATCGCATTCAACCGTATGGATTCTAGTGCTCAACACACATCCAACAATCAGACCCTAAGAGATGTTTACCCACTTGGTATTCCTGACACCAGGCGTAGGGGCCTCAGCACTCGGAAGGCTCTCAGGGCTTTGACGTCAAAACCACCCTGCCCGCTAAGAAGTGCCCCTTCAATTACACTGATTTTTTCCAGGATCACTGTGAAAACACTGCAAAGGAGGTAAAGAATAGAAAGGGAGGGTTGACAACAACAGAGGAGCTGCAAAAATCAGTCTAAAAAAGTTAAAGCAAAGACTTAATGATTTACATGTTTTCCCATTGTGTCCTCATGAGAAATTAAAATGTGGCTGTTATGGCCATGTACTGGGACTGACACACTTATTGTACCAATTGCATGGAGGTGACTTTAAATCACTGAACACAGAGAAAACAACTTCTCACTACATCACATACAACCAGATAACTTTGCAGTGATCTGGGTCCTGTGGTTTGATTGTGGCCTCATCTGCCTCTTGCTCTCACCCCCCCCCCACACACACATTATCAATTTGTGTAGCAATTTTGCTGCACCCACAACCTTTTTTAGACCAGGGGGATCTTTTTTAAAAACTAGAAGTAATTTCTCATTCTTAACTGCCTCCCCGTCCTTGGGACTAAAATAAGCCGAGAGAAATCAGAGAAATGGTTCCTTATGTCTCTTAGACTTAGAGGACGCAAAGGGGCATTTTGTAAATCAATCAATCAATCCAGGGGCTTTTAAAGGGGCAAGGAGGCAGAGGCAGCCATCCAAATTTCAGTGAGAAGCATGTGCATCTCCCAGAACTAGGAAGCTGCTCACCTCTTGTGTAAATGTGACAATTTTACATCATAAAACAAAAGTCTGAGACACAGTCTCTCTCCTCAAGTTAAGTGATTTAATGTGCATCCATTTGGCAGTGACTATATAGAAAAAAAAAACAAAGCATCTGCCCATCCATCATAACTGAAGTCAGTGCTAGCTACTCTGTACTGCATGATACAGAAAACATAGCAACTTCGTCCATCTCTGCAGTACATGAATTTGCAATTCAACAGCAATTTTTTATATACTGGGTAAAAGTGGAGCTACAGGTCCCTCCCACCACTCCAGCCAGCATAGCGAATTATCATGAATGATGAGAGTTTTAATTCAACAACAGCATTCCCCATAAACAAGATTCAAGGTGGTAAATCGATGAGTTTCCAGTGAGGTCTTCCCTCAATCTGAAGAGGTGATTTGGTGTGTACTCAATCTCAACCCAGGTGATTCGTTTTTCCCTGGATGTCTGATCTGAATTGTGGGACTAGATCAAAAGGAGATAAATTTTAGCTGCAATGCAAGTTCAGGCCTATTCACAAATACAAGTCCTATTTACTTTCTCCAGAATTTACTTTCCCCATGGGGAAATATTAATGTGAACCAAGCAGCAGATGGCAGTTCTGGGACACCAGCTGCACCTTCTTCAGTTGTTGCGATCATAAAAATAGCTATCTCCACGCTGGTTCACGCTAACATTTCTGCAGGAAGGAGTATCTTCATCTGCACCATTACACGGAAAAAATAAGGACAGATTTGAACTTTAAGTATCAGATATACTCTAGAATTTGCTAAGAACATAATCTATGAAGTAGAGATATGTCTCTTCAAATACCTGAAGTTGCAGCTCCCAGACACATGTATTTTCAGCACATGCTTTTCCTTTAGACTGATGCTAACCAGAACAAATCCAGTTTACATCTACGAGTCACACCTGCTATATAACATGTCAGCATGACATGTTATGCATGACCCTTGTATGCATGAACTGACCCCTAGTGAGGGTCTAAATGCCAATTGCAAGGTCCTAGGCTAAGAATGCATCTTCCACAATGAGATATTTTAAATGGCTCTGTTTGCTTATGTGCCTTTTTTGCTTTCATGTGCCATCAAACTACTACAGAGGTATGGAGATCCTATGAATCAGTAGTCTTCAAAAGGTCCTGTCACTCAGATGCAATCTCTAGGGTATGGCTTTTGTTATTGAATTAATCCATCTCCTATCTGTATTTGCTTTGATTAATTTTGTGCATTAAGTTATAATGGAACAACAACAACAAAGTTGCCAGCAAAGTAAAATACCGTAGTTTGATAGTGGTGTTAAGTGCAGAAAGTACATATGTAGGATGTGTCTGGAAATAGTGTCTAATCTTCCCAGGATTATGTAATTATTCATTAATTCTTAGAACATTTAAACTGCACCTTTCCTCTTGGGAGCTCAAGCTAGAGCAACAAAAAATAATATTAATAATTAAAAATGTCCTTATTGTTTAAAACAATGGTTCCTAATTATGAACACAACAGATAAAGCAACAATAAAATATTTAAAGTAGATGTGTAAATTCATGGTGAAATCTTGTATGTGTCTAACCAGAAGTAAGCCATGTTTATTCCGATGGGACCTACCTCTGGAGAGAAAGGTTAAGCTTGCAACATTGTATATTAACAATTTTAAATATTATTTCCATGAAATCTAGACACTTTGCTGCAGAACCTGGCCCACTGTGTTGTAAAATTAAAAGGAAAACACAAAATTCTTTTACCCTAAAAAGACTATTGTGAAATCCAGTACATTCCAGCCATTTCGGAGGTAGGCATCTGCATGAAATAGAAATCCATAAGCAATGATCTTTAGTGTTGCTTCAATGGCAAATACTATGAGGAAGAAGTATTCTAGCTTCTCCTGCAAAATACAGAAAATAAAGTTGGGCAATTTTAATATAGTTAATAGTTTCAGTTAGACCTCTCCACATACCCTCCTTTCATAGAAATGTTGTCAAGAAATCTAAAAGCCTATGTGCATTGCTCTTCTGAAAATCCCATGGTGGCTACTGCTCTATCTTAGTTCAAAATGCATTCTCAACTTCTTTACCTAAGGCCCTCTCACCCTTTGCTTCCTGTCACCGTCTCTATGCTAAGGGTAAAACATACCAACTTCAGATGTACTGACTGCTCTGTCTTTCAGAACCTACCTAAATTCGGCACCTGAAATCCATAATTATGTAGACCAGGGATCTCAAACTCAATTTACCTGGGGGCCGCTGGAGGCAGAGACTGGGCCACATCAGATTTTCCACCAAGCGGAGCAAGAGCCCGAGGAAGCCACCCAGGAGTTTTCTTAGCCTGGCTGGGGCTTCGAGGAAGAGGAGGCAGCTCGGACACTCGGGGATAAGGGCTGGCAGCGCGACTCACTCGCTGGCTCTCCACCAAGAGAGGAGCTCTTGCACCCTCCATCCAGAACTGCAGACAGGCAGGCTGGCGGGCAGGCTGCAGTTCCAGATGGAGGGTGCAAGAGGCGCTGTCTTGGGAGAGAGCCGGCGAGCAAGGCGAGGCTTTTTTTTTACTCTTGACAGCAGAGGACGCATGGGCACTTCGGGGGGGGCAACAAGGCGGGGGCTGTAAACTATCATCTGGGGGGCCACAAATGGCCCCCGGGCCACATGTTCGAGACCCCTGATGTAGACATTCACAGAGGCAAAAAAACTGAGAGCAGGAGACACTTTTGCCGGTAGCCTGCTTCTGCTTCTCACTATATACATAGAAGAGTCCATTCTGTACATGTTTCCCATTTCACTGACACTTCTGTAAAGCGTCATCCACAACAGCCTTTTACAACTGGGAATCCATATTGTTTTCAGCTGGAGAGTCTCTGGTTTGCATAGGTACAACCCAGAAATTACAAACATGGAATTCTCTGACTGCACAGCCCATATGATTCTCCATTTACCAATGGAATTCTGGCACCAATATCTGGCTTCAAATCCTGCCCAACCTCCCATCTAAAGTTCTTTCCTCTGTCATATCTTGGTCTGTGTTTACTGTTTAGGAAAATGCAGTGTTTGGCTTACCTCACTCATGGGAAAACAGGCAGAGGCCATTTCAAATCCAAACCCAAACCCCTTCATTTACAATCAACAAACCTTTGAGAAACCAACAAAGAGGGTGTTGTATCTCAGATTACTAACACAAAGATGTTTAGTCTGACATCAATGAATCTAGTTGAACCTTTGGCTCATACCATCGAACACCCTACCTTCCTTTGTCACGGCTATATACAGTTTCTTGTAATCACTGCTCATCCTGTTTCTCAGACTAGCAACTGTGGTTAATGTTTCCTATAGTTTGTTTGAATAAGCCAGCTTCAGATCATGGGTTTCGAAGCCAGCTCTTTTATAAACTACTATTTAGAACTCAGACAACATACAAACTGTGGGTAATAACAAGCACTTTCAAAATTTTAAACTAAGACATACTGGAGGAGAGGGAAGAGGAAAATAGGCAAGGTTAAATTCTGGCTAAGCTCATTACAGTGGAACCTCTACTTATGAACTTAATCCGTCCCAGAAGATGTTCATTAGTTGAAACATTCGTAAGTAGAAGCAAAGTTTCTCATAGGAATGCATTGGAAACCATTTAATCCATTCTGGCTGTTTTGGGTTCTTATGTAGAGGTGCCGTTCGTACATTGAAGCACAAAGCCGGTTAATCCGTACTCTAGCACTAGGGAGAGAATTTTTCTTCTTTTGACCTAAGATGAATTTAGGTCAAAAAAGGGCAGGAAAGGAGGGGGAGGGAACACCTTCTAAACAGAACACCTTTAAAAACAAGCACCTTTTAAACAAAACTAAGCACCTTTTAGCTTAAAAAAGGGCAGGAGAACACCTTTTAAACAGAACACCTTTTAAAAAGCCACAGAATCCAGCAAGCATTATTTCAGCACAGAACTCCTCATCACAAAAAGAGAGCATAGAGGGAGAGAGAGATAAGACAATGGGGGGGGGAGCCTTGAGTCTACAATAGCCTCCATTTTAAAACTCAATTTTAAACTCCATTTTATAGCCTGCCTGCCTGCATCAACAACCAACACTATTATTACAGCAAACAGATCCCCAAAGAAAAAAAGACTTTGGAGTCACATTTTAAACCCACACATTTCTAAACAACAGAGAGGTCACAATACACAAACCCTAGAAGCCACAGAAAGCAAAAATAAATTAATAAAATTTCCATTTTAAATTACAGTCTAATTTTCACATTTAATTTTAATTTAATATTACAGTCTACTTTTCACATTTTAAATCCACATTGCAAGACCCATCAGGGCACAGAAACATAACCCCCCCACCTAGCCCTACCCCCTACCAAGCTGCAAAAAAACCCTGTACAGTACAGTAAATACTGTACAGTGTATGTACTCACCCAGAACAGGCAGTCTCTCTGTTTAAAATAAAAAGTCAAAAATCCAAAAATCTAAAATTTTTTAAAAGCCCGCCCCCCAAAAAATACAATCCATACAGTACAGTACCAGGCAGTACTGTATCAGGCAGTCTGAAGACTCTCCCTATCCACTCTCTAACCACTGGGATGAGTGAGGTAGCAGACAAACAGCCTCTTCGCTGGCCAACAGTTAACTGAAAATTAAAATTTTGTGCTTTCCCCGCGTCTCCCGCATTTTTTTTTCTGTTTGTATGCTGAAGCTCCGTTCGCAAGTAGAAGCAAAATTTTGCGAATGGAGCTGTTTGTAAGTTGAATCATTTGTAGGTAGGGACGTTCGTAAATAGAGGTCCCACTGTAATTCCATGATCAGCTATGGTTGTTACATTTGAATGCAACTAAAATAGAACCTTAAAGACTAACAGATTTGTTATAACATAAGCTTATAGGGCCAAGAAAAGACTGTAATGTGTGAAGAAATGACCTTATTCACCAAATTTTGAATTATACACTATCAGATCATACACCGTGATTTCAATTATCCATTCAGCCAGAATTTGAAAAAATACTTTGAAGAAGGAATGTAATGATATGCTGATGCCATCCATAACTGAGCATAATCAGATCCCAGAACATCATGCTACCACTGCTTAGTTATGGATGGTCTGAGTATGTTATTAAATCAATTCTCCTTCAAAGCAACTTTCTACATTTGTAAGCAATCATATGATGAGGGAACAGTTCTAGATAAATGCACAGTAATTAGTCATACTCAACCATACACATATAACAATGTAAATCAGTCAACAGTGACAGCAGGATTACATATTAGCCTTAAATTGAAGATGAATAAAAGAAGTGTGAGAAAGATACTTTCCTGCTCCTGTTTAATGGAGCAGGGAGCTCTTGTTATACACTGCGAAAATAGCAGATACTAAATGCAAAGTTCAATTGAATATTCAAAGTACAGTATATTATTTTGGCCTTTCGTTGTTTAGAGTCTTTGCACGTTTCTTGCAGAGGTGCTTTCTCAATTGGTGAAAAATGTCTGTTTGCCACAACATGTGGTTTTCCTCAATTACATAGTATAGTCTGAACAAAAAGACAGAGGTTCCTGCACCATGGGGCACAACCTCCATTCAGATAGGCTGCAAAAAGATTTTGCCTGACATTGCAAGCAGAAGCAGTTTTCACCAGGGTTGGATTGTCAAATAGGCTAACAAAACATTTAACAAAGCTTGACATTTAAACTGTTACTGTCCTATGTTGCTGACATTGTGTATTACTTACACATTTAGGAATTAAATGGGCCTTTCTCAGAGCACTGGCCTATGGTCAATGGTTTCATAGCAAGGTGGTGATTTGATAATGATATGAGCTGATGTTGCTCAGTGGGTTAGAGCAGCTGGATATCATGCTAAGGGCTGAGAATCCAAATTCCCACAGTGCCTTCTGGTATAGGGGCCCAGCCTAGACCACCCACAGTGTGTGTGACCAACAAATGTTTCATGGCTGGCCATTTGTGTGATGTTAGGCACCCACACAGTCCCAGAACACCACCAGAAAGAGGGAGTGGTAAAGCACTTGTGAGTATTTTACACCTAGAAAACTGTTTCTTTGACTTTACTTGATATCAATTAATTTTTGACAATGATGCCGGCACTGATGGATTATTGTACAGAAGTATGAGGACCATATATGCTTTGATTTGTTGTTGTTGTTTTTAAAGACAAAGCAAGAAATTCCCAGATCAGGTCAAAATACTTCCAGGTTTTCTCTTTCTGTCCTGCAATATCCCCTGACCTGGTGTCCTCTGTTTGTTCTAGTGGATCTCTTGCTGTTTGAGTGAAGCATCTCAGTAGCCAATGCCATTAAGCCAACTTGCATTTGTGTCAGTGCTCTGTGTCAAAAGAGACACCATTTAACATTGGTAAAGGGAGAAGAAAAACTCTTTAAGCACTGCCCACTGACTGTCTTTGGACCTCATCTATCCTTGGCTGTTGTTACCAATTTAATGGTCACAGCTAGGCTGACTACCTGTGGCAGTCCCAGCCTAGAATAGTTACTGTACTTTTCTTCTCTGTCAACCCCCCCTCCCATCAGAAGTTGCTGTTGCCCTCGTCTCACACACAGCTGCAACTGTCCATCACCACAAATTCCTCATGCCATTGCTAGGCTTCCTTCCCTGTCAGGCTTTGCATGTTTCAGAATGAAGCAGGCTGAGGTTAGCAATATTTATTTTTATTGAAATTACAAGGAATAGAGAAGACAGTCACCTTTTGGGGGTGGGGTGGGAGAATTCCAGAAGTTGTTTTTTGAATGCTATGGGAGGCACTATTTGACTAAAACAGAAAAGTGGAAATCTTGATTTCCATGAAGGGCTTCCTCCTATGTTTCTCCTTACATTAAATAGCTGTTCCACAGACATTCCCTTCTCCAGTTTAGGATGGCTAGTAATAAGAAGAGCTAAATGCTATCCAGCACAGGGCTTCTATTTATTTAAGACAATCCTTCATTGAATTCAGTAGATTTTAATTTTGTTGGACTAGCTGAGCTGACAAGGAAGATTGTTAGCATGTGTCCTGGACAAGTCACCTATGCCTTTAATAGCTAGCAAAGCATGGAGAAGTTTGACAGATGTAGGATTACTGGTCAGTGGAGCACAGTCAACTCAACAGCGGGTACTTACATAGTCATCCCACAGAGGGAGGAGGATTTAAGCTACCAAGAATACCTTCAAGGAGTATCTATAAAATTTTGTCCAGATGAGGCATCATCTAGGAAGCTGAATGTAGTTACTCTTAATATCTTGTCCTCCCTAATGATATATTTTCCTCTCTCCACTCCAAAATGGCACATCTGTGTGCTAGTTAGCTAAAGATACTATTTTAGTTCTTTTGCTCTTTCTTTCCCTCCCCCCGTCCCATTTTCCACATCTCCTGTTTGATAGTTACCTCCTATTACAGAAATGAATTGGGGGAAGAGGTAAACTAGGACTATAACAGGCTGGGCTTGTTATGGATGATGTTTTTCTTCCAGAGGCACTCCTATAAATATGAGGAATACAGCATTCACACAAACAAGAAACATAAAACATTTTGAGCTGTTCAGCTATGTCTTGCTCCCCAGTAAAAGGTAAAGGTAAAGGTTCCCCTTGACAATTTTTGTCCAGTTGTGTTCGACTCTAGGGGGTGGTGCTCATCCCCGTTTCCAAGCCATAGAGCCAGCGTTTGTCCGAAGACAATCTTCTGTGGTCACATGGCCAGCGCGACTTAGACACGGAACGCTGTTACCTTCCCACCAAGGTGGTCCCTATTTATCTACTTGCATTTGCAGGCTTTCGAACTGCTAGGTTGGCGGGAGCTGGGACAAGCAACGGGCGCTCACTCCATCACGTGGATTCGATCTTACGACTGCTTGGTCTTCTGACCCTGCAGCACAGGCTTCTGCGGTTTAGCCCGCAGCGCCACCACGTCCCTCTTGATCCCCAGAGGGGACTATAAATTTGACACTGTATCTCTAGAAACTAAAAAATGTTGTATAGTTTAAACATGAACAACAAGTGATGGGAAATCTTGTGTTTTAGTAATGAAGGTATGCAAGTCATCCTTCTAAGGTGGTCCCAAACCTTTTTGACACAGCAGACCAGTTAAGCATGCAAGCAGGGTGTGGGGTGGGGGAGATCTGTGCATTGTGTTTATATGTGCAGGAGTATGTCTGTGCATGTGTGGGCCATGCAGGCGTGGGGTGTGGGGGGGCAGAAGAACTAAGATACATATGGAAAACATTAGGAGATATGAGATTATATTTTGGTTATGGCACAGTTGAGGAACAGAAGAAAGTATGGGGCATCTCTTCTTTAACATTAGGGGTACATGTTGTTTAAGAAAGCTCTTATATTTGCAGTTAAATTCTGAAAACATTTAAAAAGTGGAAACAACGGTTTAGAACCCACCCACCCCCACAATATGAAAAAAAATTAGGGCTTGTCTACATACCCATTTTGGAGTGGGCTGGAGTGGACTAAATCGGATTACTAGGAGGTCCAGTATGCCATATGACTCAATCCTTGCATCCAAATGGCACATGGACCTCAAGTGACCCCATTTGCTTTGTATCAGCCAACTTTCAATATGCCTACATTCTGAAGTGAGGAAAGACCCACTTCAGAATTTTGGCAAATTAAACACTTCCTCAGCTTTGGGGATTTGCTGAGAAAGTGGGGGGGGGGATTAAGTATATTAGGGCAGTGCTTGCAGGGGTGGTTGGGTTATAAACCTTTTTTCCACTTTTTGAATGTTTTCGTGATTAAGTATATTAGTGCAGTGCTTGCAGGGGTTGTTGGGTTATAAACCTTTTTTCCACTTTTTGAATGTTTTCACTTGGAGGGGGAAGCTAAATAGAAAACTTCTCCCCAGAAGCAGGAGGAAACAGGAGGTTTTTGTTTGCTTTTCTCAATTGGATCTCGACCAGAGAAAAGAAAAGAAAAATCTCCCTTATT